AGCACACCAAAGCTGTTTTATTTCAATATGCAGTCAGTCCAGCTGACTGTTTGTGAGTGCCTACACCATTTCAGACAAATGGCCGTCCAGTCTCCTCTTAAAGACTTCCAGTGTTGGAGCATTCACTGCTTCTGGAGGCAGGTTGTTCCACTGAGTTTTATGGGGGGGGGGGGGAGAGAGGTTAATTTTCTTTTTTGCGATTTTGTTTTGATTTTTGACATTTTTCTGATTTATTTATTATTATGTTTTTAATTTTCTTTTTGTTGGTTTTCCTATGCTACCCAAAGTCTTTAAAGATTATGGTGAGTTACAGGGAAGGAAGGGCCAGTGGGAGGAGTTATTCAACTTTAACATGTATTATTATCTTATATAACTGCCCTCTTTTACAGTCCTAAGATATTTTCTCATCTCTTCCCAGATTCTTAGCTTTGGGTGGGGGAAAACTGACAGATAATCTGTACAATAATCTCCTTAGTGGTGGTGCTTATTTAGCAGACAAACGTGGCTCTGTTCTAGTTATATTTTATCACTAGGCTGTATTTTTTTTCCCTTTTCCTTTTTTTTAAAAAAAGCAATGTGAGCTGCTGTATAATAAAAAACACATTTGTTTTTCTATTTGTATTTATTACATTTGACCTATAATTCCATTTTTTTTTTTTAGTGACTGCTTTGGCTACATGACATTTGTTTGTTTGCTTGCTTATTTTCATTCTTAACTGCCCTGGGAGCACAGTGTCGAAAGCTCCAATACAATATTTCAACAAATAATCAAAAGGATACTTGCCAAATGTTCCTAAGCCTGTTTATGAAGTCCCATAGTTTCACTGGTTCTCATTATCTAGGACAGGGGTTCTCAACCTTGGCAACTTTAAGACTTGTGGACTTCAACTCCCAGAATTCCTCAGCCAGCTTTGAAGTTCACAAGTCTTAAAGTTGCCAAGGTTGAGAACCCCTGATCTAGGAAATGTTGCTTGGATGCTGAGATATCATTCACAGCTACTCCCAACATCCAAGTAAGGAAAAGATTTGAGAATGCCAGCAGTGAGAGGCCACTGGAGATTTATAGTATTTTCTGTGATGTGATACATAGGCTGAGCCTAAGAAGAAGGTTCTTAGAAGCAGCACCTTGTGACCAAGTCCTGTTTTCCATCAGTTTTTTATGGAAAACTTGAGCCATCTGCCCATGATCGGCTCTTGCCTTAGGATAAGATTACCTTCCAATAGAGAAATCTTTGGATCAATATTGCAGAACAGGTAACATGGTTCTCAAGAACCACTTCTACCTTAGATAGCGATACATTTTTGTCATATATTAATAATTCTAATATTCGGACTCACGATAGTTTAAAAAATGAAATAAATCTATTATGATTGACAGATTATTCATCTATTTTATATTTTATTGTTCATTTAATATATTATGCATTAATGTTTTGTCATTTCTTTTGATATAGTATTTTGACATATATTTCATCTACCAATAATTATTATTCTAAATATCCATTAATTCATCCATAGCAAAGTTATAATTCATTAATTTTGTTGCAATCTATTTAGAATAGAATAGAATAGAATAGAATAGAATAGAATAGAATAGAATAGAATAGAATAGAATAGAATAGAATAGAATCTGGAAGGAACCTTGGAGATCTTCTAGACTAGCCCCCTGCTCAAGCAGAACCTATACCATTTCAGACAAATGGTTGTCCAGTCTCTTCTTAAAAAACTTCCAGTGTTGGAGCATTCACAACTTCTGGAGACAGGTTGTTCCACTAATTAATTGTTCTAACTGTCAGGAAATTTCTCCTTAGTTCTAGGTTGCTTCTCTCCTTGATTAGTTTCCATCTGCTGCTTCTTGTCCTGCCTTCAGGTGCTTTGGAGAATAGCTTGACTGCCTCTTCTTTGTGGCAGCCCCTGAAATATTGGAACACTGCTATCATGTCACCCCTTGTCCTTCTCTTCATTAAACTAGACAGACCAGCAACTGTTCGTTATATGTTTTAGCCTCCAGTCCACTGATCATCTTTGTTGCTCTTCTCTGTACTCTTTCTAGATGAGTCTCAACATATTTCATCCTGGCTAGGTAACTTTGAGAGTTGAAATCCATACATTTTCAGGCTGGCAAGGCTGAGAAATACTGCTGTACAGTAGTTGAATAGAAATCCCACTTGTTTTCTCACTAGTAAACAGGGCTTGCTCTTTAGAGAATTATTTAACAAACTTTATACCACTTTCAGAAGTCTTCAGACTTCAGCTACTACTGTGAGGACAATTAACCAGTGGAATAGCTTGCCCCCAGAAATCATGGGCACTCCATCACTGGAAATGTTTCAAACAGGGGTTCTCAACCTTGGCAACTTTAAGACTTGTGGACTTCAACTCCCAGAATTCCTCAGCCAGCAAAGCACTCCCTGTTTTCAATTTCAAAGAAGTATCTGGTTTTGGTTCAAGTATTACTGCACTAATAGGCGCCAGTACTTTTTGGGTGGGTAAATGGCTTTGTATACTGTGGGCTCTAAAAGTATAAAAAGGTACAGATAGTCCTCGACTTACAACAACCATTTGTTTAGTAATTGTTTAAAGTTACAAAAGTACTAAAAAAAATTGGTTTATGACCATTTCTCACACTTATGACCATGATAATAGGATCCCTGTGGTCATGTGATCAAAATTCAGAAGCTTGGCAACTGAGAACAATTAATCAGTGGAACAGCTTGCCTCCAGAAGCAGTAAATGCTCCAACACTGGAAGTTTTTAAGAAGAGACTGGACAGCCATTTGTCCGAAATGGTGTAGGGTTTCCTGCCCGAGCAGGGGGTTGGACTAGATGACCTCCAAGGTCCCTTCCAACTTTACTACTATTACTATTACGGTTGTAATGTCGCAGGGTCATGTGATCACCTTTTGAGACCTCCCAGCAAGCAGAGTCAAAGAGGAAATCGGATTCGCTTAACAACCCTGTCACTAACTTAACAACTGCAGTAATTTAACTGCTGTGGGAAGTAAAGGTCGTAATGTGGGACAAGACCCACTTAACTGTCTTGCTTAGTAACTAAATGTTGGGCATCAATTGTGGTTGTAAGTCGAGAACTACCTATACATATTTTCAACATATAAAGCTCCCAAATCATTAGACCTCATGTGACATCTTAGGAGGTTTGACTTATTTCCCAAGAGTGTGTTTTTAATAAATGATCTACAGTCACTATCTAGGGACAATCTCAGTCTGTCAGTTGTCAAGGATTCTCAATCTTGGCCACTTTAAGACTTGTGGACTTCAACTCCCAGAATTCTGGGAGTTGAAGTCCACAAGTCTTAAAGTTGCCAAGGTTGAGAACCCTGGTTTAAAAAGAAGCTAGACAGTACTTGTCTGAGATGGTACAGGACTGCTGCTTGAGGAGAGGGCTGGACTAGAAGACCTCCAATGTCCCTTCAAGCTCTATTCTATTCTACGTCTACTCAGAATTAGCTCACGTAGTCATAGTTGGCTCACTTAATAATAGTTCACTGAATTAATCCAGTTGATTGAGCTTCAGAGTACCCATATTTAGTGTCCAATGATCCCAGATTGTGACTTAGCTCTCAGAAATTATTATAAGATTATGGCTTCAATGCATAATGCAAATGTGGAGTACATGGCCTGAAAAATTGCACATTTATGCCTTTAGTTTACATAAGAGAAATACAAGCCAGGAATGATAAACATGAGTTGATATACTGGGGATTTAAATATCTGCCAAAAACAACTACTGAATAAACTAGGTTGGAAAACCAATGAGTCTTAATTGCTCCACTGTTTTTTCTGAGACAAATGTTCCGGAAAAAAAACCCAGAGAAAAACTAAATGAAATGTATAATTATAACAGTGAGTATATAGTGTAACAAGCTGGAGATACCTGCAATTACAGGGTGATGAAAACAAACCAGATGGTCACAGAGTGTAGAATGAAAGAATTGCTATATTTAGAGAAAGCTTGGTGAATTAATTGGAGGGGTGTTATAACTGAATCAGCAAAGATATAGTTGTCAACAGTTGAACTCACACTGATAATTGACTAGATGCATGAAAAGCCATGTTAGATTTTGGGAATTACTGTGGTATGGCTACAGATGAGTATATAAATGGAATCCTTCCTCATATCTGTTATGGACAATTCCAGATTACTCAATGAGCAAACTCCTTTCTATTCTTATTTCTCACCTTCAGCAACTTTAAGATGTGTGGACTTCCAACTCCCAGAAATCATCTTAAAATTGCTAAGGTTAAGAAACACTACCCTAGCCTAGGATATAGTTCTCAAACTCAGGGCTAGCCTCTGTGTACAAAACAGGGTTCACCAAAGAGCACTCAGCTCTAAGCCACAAACTAGTCAACCATACTTTAACTTTGTAAGTGGTCCAAAGAGACTAAATTAAAAATGCTATTGTGAAGTTGAAGGAAATAAAAGTTAATATAGGTTAATATAGATTAATATAGGATTCCTGGTGTTTATTATTACATCAGAGGCATACTGGTTGGGGAAATAAATGTACATGTAAATTTGTAAACAAATGATGCCATTTTGTTGTTTTGAAAACCCCAGTGATTTGGAGAAAACAGTATAGATTGCATGATGCAATGAGAATTATGAACCTGCAAATTCATCTAGCAGCAAGCAAGATTTGGCCGGGAAAATTAATGCACAAATGGAAGTAATATATATAATCATCAAAAAGGTAAATAGAGATTAATCTGTACACTTTGGTGATATTCTGAGGTGGTAAAATGGGGACATTTTAAGACATGCAAATGCCGATGGAAGGGCAGTAAAATATAGAAGCCAGCCCTGTGTATGTGGATGTGGTTCTTTGTTCCATGGAACTGAGATGGGTGTTATCAGGAGAAAAAGAAGATGAATGCAGTAGGATTGGGGGGGGGGGGCGAGGGGGAGCTTCGTGTACGAAAAAGCAAGCAATTAATAGGAGTAAAAAATGCAGATCCGGAATTAACGTGGATAGAATACAGACGTGAAGAACTAGTATACAGAAGCCTGTGAAGACAATTTGGTCATACCAAAAAAAAGGAATGAAGTTCGGTTACAAAGCAGATTGAGGAAGCAGTGCTTGATTGGAATTAAAGAACTGCTCAAAAAGAGAAACGCTTAAATAACAGGAGGCATAATACGAAAGCAACCCTGAAACTAACGCAATAGCGTTTTTCTGAATATAATTCACCGATTTCAGAGTCTGGTGATACTGTTTACATCCACCTAAGACGCCTCCCGAAATATTTAATAGGGCACGACCTCTTTCTTAAAGCGAAAGAACCATATCGCCTGCGGTAGAGGGCGCTGTGGTTTTAGGCATCCCCAGTCGGCCTCAAGTTGGCTCTTCCTCTCGATCACCAACAACCTTTCCTCCGGAGCTACTGGCGAGGTGAGGCTTCCGCCCGGTCTGACCACATGCTGTTTGGAAGAAGGCGCCGAGCACGAATTCCAGGGGCGACTTCTTGCTGCTGTTCTGCCCAAATGTCTTTGCCGAGCTCGGCAGTGAAGTTTCGCAGGATCTTGGCTCACTTCCCTCAAGAGCTCAGCTTAGCCTTCGCTTATGGCTCCGGGGTCTTCCAACAAGCGGGATCTTCTGCCGCCCCAACGGAGGTAAGCGGGACGGGGTCTAAAGCCCTTGTGCCCATCCATCACCACTGAGCTATTTGCCCATGTTACATATCTATTCGTTTTACCCAAGCTCTTTGTATACATTTGAATAGAGGAAGGAGATCTGCTTCTTAAACATGAATTTAACACATTTGAATGACTGCTAGTATTCCTGAGAGATGGCTAATCCTCTGTTACGCAGGAGGTTGGTTTAAATTGGGAAAGAGGGCAGGTGACCGGTGAGTTCTGTCACCCGTGAGTATATTACAGGTTTTCTAACACTGAGCTTCATATGCCATGATTTTTTATTTTTACTGCTTTAGTCTACTCCTAGGTCTTGTCTAGTTACAAGGCTTTCAATGCTTCCTGCCTAGAACACCTGTCCACTGATTGCATTAATCAGAGGTTCCCTCATTTTTTTATATATCAAGGGTCGTCAAACTTTGCCCTTTTATGACTTGTGGACTTCAACTCCCAGAATTCCTCAGCCAGCATGCCTGGCTGAGAAATTCTAGGAGTTGAAGTCCACAAGTCATAAAAGAGCCAAGTTTGAAAAACCCCGTTTTATACAATAGTGTTAGCCCATTGTAGCTGAAGATGGCAACTATTCATGATTTTCTAGACTTATGGAAGGTGTTATGTATATGATATACACCTAGGGAACTGCATTAAGGTGAGTTTATTGTTCTAATCTTCCTCAAAGGGGAAAGGGAATAGGGCTTAGGGCTCCTGCAAACTATTTTACATGCCCTGTTAATCTGAAAACCTAATGACAAAGTCTTTCCTGCCTCACACCAGAGAATAGAATTGTCCAAGTAACATCCTCCTTCGTGTCCCACACACTTCTTGAATAAGCTAAAAAAGAAATCAGTGCTAAAAATCCAAATGCTAGTAGATGAATTGTGGATTTTGCTAACTAAAGAAAACAGTATACCCTCTTTTTTTTTTCAGCACAATATGCTGGATTTTGTATTTGCAGTTGATGATTCTACAACATGGCATGCAATGAACCTGTCAAAAAATCGGAGTCATTATTCCTTCCTAAAATATTTGGGAACCAAGTCAATATGCAACATCCAAAGCTATGGAGCAGGGATTTACTACAATACACTGGTGCCTTGTAATGGTAGGGTAAGTCATTTTTACCCCTTAAGAAAAATGCAAAATTATTTCTAATTTGTCTCATTTTTATCTTCTTTCTTTGGTGTTGTAATGCAATAATCAAATTCATTGTATTTTAAAATTGATCAAACTTTAGAGTTTTTCTGTTTGTTCTGATATTTTATTAGTGAAATGTCTATGTTAATTAAACTTTCAATGAATACATTCTTTTTTAGCTTACTGAGGATTTCAAAACCCATCACAGGAACATAGCAACCTTCTTAGGAAGTCTTACAAAATAAGGGAAGAGAAAAGAATCTGAGTTCAAGGGTACATAGGAAAATAAGAAGAAATTGCCAACTTAGTCAAAATTTCCTGCTCTGTGCTATGTGTTGCTTTTCAGGAAAATGACCTGCAAAATTAGATAAAAATCTGATTTTCTTAAAAAGGTCAGAATAAGACTTCTGGCATTTTTAGCTTTTCAGTGTTTGATTTTAGACAGAACTAAACCTACCTTAAAATTATATTTCTCTGATTTAGCTTTCTTTTCTGCTCCAGGTTATAAAATATGGTGTCATAAGTACTGATGCTTTAATTGAAGATTTGTTGTGCTGGAAGACACTCTATGTAGCTGGACGTCTGCAAAAGCCGGTACTACTGCTTATTTGTTTAAAATAACAAATGAAAAATTACGGTAGATAGCATGGACTGTAGAGAGTAAGGTCAGTAATATGGTGAAAATAAGTGATGTCTGTGAGTCATAACGGTATTGTCTAGACCAGAGGTGTCAAACTGCCAGCCCACGGGCTGGTTGCATCATATGGAGGCCGTGCCCATCCCAGGTCCGGCAATGCAAAAAATGTTGCGACACGTCACATGGCGAGTTTGACACCCGTGGTCTAGACTACTTACATTTTAAAGTATCTGATGTTTAAGTTGCTACTACATTTGATCTAAAGGCCTTACGTAATTTGTTTTTATTTAAAACAGAAAATTAACTTGTCCTCTGTTGTTTTGAAGAAAGATGACAATTTCACTTTGTATTGTCCCTCTTGCCCTCTGGCTCCCCAACCCCCAAAACTCTTTGTAAAAACCCTGCATTCATTACACATTCCTTAAAGGAGTCTGCAAATGCTGCAGGATTGTTTCCAGATCCATATGTGGAGGGCATATTGGCACGGTTTCAAAATGAGAGTGTTCAGTTCATGCCCAGGGTTTTTATTCCCTAAATTCTTTGATATTGAGCAAACTACTCAGTGTGCTGGGCTGAGGGCTAAGCAACAGATGCATTTTGGAACTGGAGAGATCACAGTTTGATCTCTTCACACTTGCATTGGTTGTGCTCGAATATGTGGCTATAGCTCACTATACTAAAGTATAGTCTGTTTGAACATTTTATATATCTTATATATTATGTTGATGATAGTATATACAACAGATTCAACTTAGGTGCCCATCAGAATAAAGGGAGAGACAAATTTGTTACTTATTCTGATTGACCACAAGATGGAAGTAGAGTTAAGATAAAAAAAGACAAAATAACCAGTTTGGTTTAAGTTACATTTAGTAATAATTTAATAGTAACATTGATATGGAGAGAGGGATCCATTTGGAGCTGAATCTTAGTTTTGGACATCTCTGAATTTCCATTTGATTTGTGTTTATTTTGCAATTTGTCCCACTGTGCAGCATGTTCCCACTCTATTATACAAAATTTTTCAGGGGCACTAAACTGTAAAAGGTTTTTAAAGCTTTGGAATATGTCCCTTAATATTTGTGAAGACAGAGTAAAGCTGAAATTATATATTGAGCTTAGAAGAGGCTCTACAGCAGGGGTGTCATGCACAGGCCACACCCACCCCGGCTCTGCAAAGGCAAAAAACGTTGTGATATATCACGTGATGCAATCGAGTTTGACACCCCTGCTCTACATTGTGAAGTTTTTACTCCTAATTGTGTCATTGTGACATTCTTAAAAAAAATGGATGTTCATTTTTTCATGTGGGAACTAGATTAAACTAATCAGATATAAGTCACTTTTTCTATTCTTACAGGATTTTGCTTCATATGCATTCAGTTATTCTTGCTAATTACTCTCTTGAAAAAATTTCTTTGTCAAATATGTTAACTTTTAACATGAAAGTTGATTAGTGATTGGTGGTTCCATATAATGATATCACAGTGAATGAAATGGTTTGATTCGTGAGAAAGTTGCAGTGTATTAGGCAAAATATGTTTTCATGTGTGTTTATTTATCTTTTCTGTTAATATTTGCCAACTGTTTGAATAGGTACTTGTTCACTCAGAGATTGTATAAAAGTAGGTCTCTAGCATTTGCAATGAAACCAAAGTTTTATATGGAATTACTTTTTTTTAACTATTTGAAACTGAGATGAACTAGATGTAATGGTTGCCACATGGATATTTAGGATTTTCTTGTTTCATTTAAAAAAAAATAATGCAAATACTATGTGGGTTTTCTTGGAGGTTTTATCAGTTTTTTCATTACTTGAATGTTAAGGCCTTTCTATTTTAAAACATTTCTTTCTGATCAACAGCAGATACAGATTTATATGCTATATAAAGACAAGTCCTTTATGCATATCTGACACTGATTCTTAGCCATCACATAGCTAGATCTTCTCCAGGAAGCTCCAACCTGCGTTTTGATCTTTGGCAGTCTATCTTTAGATTCATCCTTAACAGCTTTTTAGATTTCATTCTGTGATTCATTGGTTCCCTATCAGTGAAGTTCTGGATTTCAAAGCAATTCTTGATATAATCCCTGGCAATAGTGGGAATATGCTAAAGATCATCTTGTGGAACTGGTTGGCTTTCATCTTCTGCAATAGCTTAACTTGGAGCTTGCATATGAGGAGATTATGATTTATTCCACAGTAAGCTCCTGTCCTTATCTTTGCTGTTAGAATTTATCTGGAGCAAAAGCTATAAACGTATATCTAAGTGGACTAATTCTTAGAGTAAAATTTCAGTTTGTACCAAAAGTTTACGATGTGACACCAGGTTGGACCTCTAGTTAATATATTCTTCCTACTACACAAAGTACATATTGCAGCACACTAAACATGGGCCTCTGAAATTTTTAAAGGATTTTTTAACTGCATAAGTAACCTTGAAAGTCTTAATTGCAAATGGAATAAATACAGCACCATTTACTGTAAATACAACAAATGAATAATTGCCATTATGCTTCTGTGGCCATACTCCCTAGTCTCTATGGTTGTCTAGAAAGCCTTTACCCACTGAATAATATGGACACTGATCTGCTGTTATGTGACTTACTGATCTGACTTGGGTTTTAAAGAAAAACAAATCTTTGTTTTTTAGTAATTTACGGTAAGTTTTTCTTCTTAGTGATCAGTAGTGAAATCTCTTCAGTTCATTGCTATAGCCCAGGCATGTCAAACTGCCGGCCCATGGGCCGGATGCATCATACTGAAACTGCGCCCACCCCCTTGCTGGCAATGGGTAAAAAGTCGCGATACGTCGCACAACGTCATGTGACATCACGGTTTTGACATGCCTGCTATAGACTATAAAATAACAATGTCATCCACATAAATTAATTCAGAGTTGGGTCAATATAGCAATCTTGGAGGAAATAAAGTAGGTTTAGAAAGAGTTTTGACCAGTGGGTTTATATAAAATTTAAAATAACTGACCAATCATTGTCAAATAGCCTTGAGAACTGCATGTAAACTGGTTGCAGATAAATACCCTGTGATTATATAGTAACACTGTAGTTACTTTTATGCAATTGATAAATATAAAAGAATAGCCGCCAATGGATACTTCCAGTTTCTCCCACAATCTGTCTGTCAACCATCTCACTCTGACAGTCAACTTTGACAGTCTCTGTCAAGGATGCCCCAGCAAGATTTTTTTCAGACAATTATAGGATTAAACCATAGTTTATGGTAGCTTGACCAGCCCTGATGGTCTCCTGTTTCTGAGCCAGTACATTTTCCCCATTCTTTCCACTCCTATGGTTTTCTGCACAAGTGGTTTGAGTAGCTTTTACTGTTTCATCCACATAGGTAAAGGTAGTTTCCAACTTAAAACCATTTGTTTAGTAACTTGAACTTACAAGAGCAATGAAGAGTGACTTATGACCATTTTTCACATTTATGACCATTGCAGCATTCCCCATGGTCATGTGATCAATCTTTGGGTGCTGGCAACTGGCATATATTTATGCCAGGATCATGTGATCACCATTTGTAACCTGCCAGCCAGCTTCTGACTGCATGATTCATTATGGTCATTAGTTGAGGACTACCTGTACTCCTCATTTTACTGGCCGTCTTGTTCATTGACCATTCAACATTACAATACTTGAAAAAGAAACCCTCATACTTATGGCTGTTGCAGCGTCCTGTAATTATGTGATTTCCATTCAAGCACTTCGCAACTGGTAGGTGTTTACGACCATCACAGCATCCCACAGGATTACCACTTACATGTTTCACAGCCATACAAGCAGAGTCAACAGAGAAACCAGAAATAAAATCATAAGTTGCAGTCTTGTGATGTTTTAACATTGGAAACGGAAATGATGTCCTCTCCTGCACGGTCACTTGATTTTGTTTAGTGACCGTGGGGACTTAACGACAGAACTGATGGTCTAAGTTGTGGTCATTAAGTAAGGATTACCTTTACACTGCCAAAGAATGTGCCTGTATAATTAAAAGGCTCAGATTGTTCCAGTTTGTGTATGTGAATTGTAGGTTGCAATCATTTTTGTGACCTGATTAGTTAAAGCATATTGAGTTACTGCCTTTGCATTCTTCTCTTCAAACACTACCTTAGGCTTCCACTTTCCTCTTTGTTCTTGCAACAGTTTAAATATGAATGAATATTCAGATGAGGACATTTTCAATAAGGCACAAATACTATTGAAAACACAGCAAAAAATGGCTTAAAATGAATACTGTTGGTTTAAAACAGGGGACTCCAAACTTGGCAACTTTAACATTCGTGAACTTCAGCTCCCACATTTAGCTTTAAATGCTAATGCAGAGCTCTGTAATTCATAGAGGTTCCAGATCTTTCTCAGTGATACTTTTAGTGATTGTCAGAAATTAAATATGGAACTTTGTGTAATGGTTTTTCTTTCTTTACATGAGATATCAGTGGCAATTCCTATAAGGTTGCCTTAGGTAATCTGTTGTGTTTTTTGCACTCTCCTTTGTAACCCTAGAAATAAACCAATAGTGTCTTACTTTAGAAACTGCAAATATTATATTTGCATACATGTTCTGCCCCACCCTCTTTCTGTCTAGCAGTATTTTGTTTTAAACTTTCAGAAAGGGAATTTAGTGGTGCATGATTCTGGGGCTTGAAGGAACATTAAAGACCAAATGGGTAGTATACACATGAAAAAAAAATACTTAGAAGTTATAAGAAGTTATAACCACCATAGCTTTAACACCTGTATTTTAGGAAATGGAGACTATATTTTGGAGTAATTTTGAGAATAAATCTGGATTTGACTGTTTCAGAACAAAAGATTTTAATAACTCAGCTCCATTGCCTCTCTTTAACCTTCATTTTGCAGGTTGAAAAGTCATTTAAAAGTATTCACATTGGATTTTTTCCCCCTCCCAAATCTTATTCCAAAGGTGTGGTTGTTTATTTGTTTTGTTTCATTTTTAGTTAGGAGAACACTGGCCACAGCTAAAGGTACAAATCAAATCAAACTAGGAAACAAATCTTTCAAGCTTTTTCAAATATGGGCATATATATAAAGTAAAGCAAGTTCAAGGTCAGAGTGCTACCTTTCTTTATCCCCTCCCCCCTTAATGCAGTCCAATGAATTTGCTTCCCTAGCAAGTAACACAATTGTTCTCAATAACAGTTAATTTATGGTTTGGTCACTTGATTATTCAACGGGCTGTGTAATTTGGTTGTTGGAGACAGTTGGCAAAGCAGCTGGGTTCCACTGTAGTCCAAGGCTGTTCTCCCAGCCTCTCACAGTTCCACACACAATGGTACTGATTCCCCTACCCCCTCTTCCTCTTGGAAGGGGGAATGCTTGTTTGCAAAATTAGGCTTTCAAAAACAGACTGAAGAGCAAATTGAAAACATGTGTTCCTAGAGCCTCTCCCAGTTTACCTTTAACAACTCAGATGGTTCAAATTTTATGTAACTAACAAAAACCACACTTCAGATGCAGGGAGAGATAATGGAAAAATAATGATATTGGATGCCCCACAGGTTCATTTTGAGTCTCCAGAGCTGCATTTAGAGAGAGAAAGAGAGGTGTGTTTTGTGTGTGTGTGTATGAATCTTTAGTTGTGAGGTTCTGGATACAATCATGCCTCTGTCATGGAATTAGTGATGTTTGTCTGTATGCTTTCTGCATGTTTGCAAAACTGAACTCTGTCATAAAATGCTGTTTTATTCAGTCAAGCTTCAGCTTTCACTCTAAAACGATCTTGTAGATTTTTTTTTTCTTTTGAGCAAATGGTGATCATGTTAGAGGCAATGCTTGTTCTTGCAACATATTGGTCAGATCTACCTAGTAAGAGAAGTCATCTTCTATGAACACACATAACAAGATTGTACTTTTTTTTTCTTCTTGAAACTGCCTCAGAAGATGTGTGTTAAAACAGAAATGGCAAAGTTCTATGATTGAAAAAATAGCTTTAAAAACATAAACTGTTATTATGCGCTGTAGATTTTTCTATATCATTTCATAAAAAATTGACATTTCCTTGGTTTCAAAGGCCATTATTATTGTGGCTGTTTTTCATAGACCTTCTGTTCCCACCTTTTAAACTAAGGAAAGCTTTTTGCTTTCAGGATGAGGGCCTGTTTTTTTTTTTTGTTGTTGTTTGTTTATTTGCTTCAATTTCTGAAGCTATCCCTTAAACCAGGGGTCCCCAACCCCCAGTCCACGGACCGGTACCGGGCCGTGGCATGCCAGCAACTAGTCCGTACAAAGAAGCAAAGCCCCATCCATGAGATGCAGGCAGCACACAAAACCATGCACCCTCCGGTCCGTGGAAAAACCTCTCTCCACGGAACCGGTCCCTGGTGCCCAAAAGGTTAGGGACCTCTGCCTTAAACAACCTTTAGAGCAGGCATGTCAAACTCGCGACGTCATGTGACATCGCAGTGGAGTGGGCGCGTTTTCGGCGTGACGCATCCAGCCTGTCTGCCGGCAGTTTGACATGCCTGCTTTAGAGGATTGCTCTAATGAATGGCTTGTTGATCATTTTCCCTCTTATTTGATAACCAAATTTTCCAACTAATTACAGGTGAAAATTCTGGCTCAGAATGAGAATGTTAAGTTGCAAGAGGCCCTGTCCAGTAATTTGAAGAGTGCTGTCATGGCAGCCTTTCTCATGTTGCCGGAAAGTTTCTCTGAAGAAGATCTTTATATGAAGATTGCTGGATTGTCGTACTGTGGTGAGTATGGCTTTTAAATTGTTCAATAATTGATTTTTTAAAAAATAAGATAGTAAATATTAATGAAAGATGTGCACCAACTTTACTTATGTTTTCTAGCATGATAGATGGCTCAGCATATTTGGCAAACTATTAAGAAGAAGTCCTCTGGATCTTTCATATGTACAGCTTCAGTTACTTTTAGTTCTATTCACTTGGCTGGATACTTCTTTGGCACTTTTTTTTGCATTTGCTCTGACTTTTTTTTGTAGCCCTTCTCTGTTTGCCTACATTCTCTACAATTTTTCCCCTTTTCTATGCGTTAACATATTACTATAACTTTCTCTCATCCTCCTTTTTTCAGTATTCTTTAATATGCATATTTTTCTTAATTCATAGGTGTCTTTGCTTCATCATCCTTTTCCATATTTCCCATTAATGTAACTCCTCACACTTCCATAATATTCTGTAACATAATTCTTCCGTAATATGCTGTAACATATTCTATTCAAGCAGTTTCCACATTTATTTTTTTTTACGCTGTCCAGTTTCCATTCATTCCACTCTGAAAATGCAGGACTCATCTTTTTCCTTCTTGTAAGCCTTCTACTTTTACAAGAACCAAAGAATAGAGGCTGAATTGAGAGAGATTGATTTCAATTGAAACTTGAAATAAGGAGAACTTTCCTGATGTGAGAGCTTTTAAGTAGTGGAATGACCTAAATTTGTAGGCCATTCCTAAACTCCTAAATTTGTAGTTTCTCAAGAAAAGATTAAACAGTTTTTGTCCAGGAAGCTATGAAGATTCTTGCACTGGTCAGAGGGTGAGATACATGACCTTCAAGATCCCTTCCAACCCTATGATTTTGATTCTTCCATTTTCCTCTTCTTGACTATTTTTCCCCCAAGATCTGCCAAATAAGATTGTATCCCACATTGAAAATGCCCTTGTAGCCTTTACTGCTTCTGTCAGTTTATATTTTTTATAAATTATCAGGTTGTTTGTACTTTTAGATTCTTTGTTTCACATATGTCTATTTACAAATGGGCATATACTTCAATCATCTATTTTAAAAAGATGTTTATCATCACTGTTCTTATTCTTGGATCATCAAATGTTCTCTCACTTATGCATTTATGTGACCTAACAGACTAATTTTTCTCCATCACATTTATTCAGAAAGTTGCACACTTTTCCTCCAACTCATCACTGGTTCTTTCATTATCCCTATCAGGACTTAACACAAGATTAAGGAACCCCAGCATATGGGTTCCTACCTTCATACGCAACCACCAAAGTCCAAATGTTTTTGTATTCATTGTAGCCTAGTCTACATCTCAGTTTCCCTGCATGATTTCATGGCTATAATGTGATATTTGTCACACACATCATAGTAATAAGCACAATTTGGGCATATTGCCATTGTGCACAGCCATAACCCACTTTTGTGCTTAGCGTGCTTTTATTTTCTACAAGTGAGGGTCCCTTGTTGCCTGTATCCTATCAGCTAGAAAGCACCAATATTACTTTATTTCTTAAATACTTTCATATCTGATTTTCAGCGTAAAGCAGTTGAATGTTTAGATTTTTGTTCAATGTAATACATTTGAGTGTTAAAGGGAGTATTTTACAATGGAAGCTTCGTAATTCAGTAGCCCAGGAATTGCAAAGAAAGCTCTTGCACTCAAAACAGGTGAGTATGTTATGTTGGGATGTCGTGGTGGGGACCGGCAAACCTTCTTTAGAATTTCTTCTTATCAGACCAGGCACATGACTTTGTTTCAGGAGAGCTCAAGGCATATCCTGCTGGCTGAAACAAATGCTCAAACTGCAATGTCTTTAAATGTGTTTAAGGGGGAAATGGCACTGGCGTTCTGATAAGATCAGTTTGCCCCAACCCCAAAACTTCCATGTGTGTTGGACCACAGCCCCCAACATCCTCAGCCCACATACTTGACCTGTGTGAGGAGGATGGCAGTTAAAATGTAATGTGTCTGGAGAAGATGCTGCTAGGTGTTATAGAAATGTGGTCTTTCTCTTTATCGCTTAGGCCACAGGTCGGCAACCTGCGGCTCAGGAGCCGCATGCGGCTCTTTGAGCCTTCCCCTGCGGCTCCCAGCCTCCTCTGCCTTTGCAGAGAGAGACAGAGACAGAGAGAGGAATTGCGCTTCCCTGCTTCTCTCTCTCTCTCTCTCTCTCTCTCTCTGTGTGTTTTTGTGTGTGTGTGTGTGTATAAAAAAAAGAGAGTGCACTCACAGTGTTCTCGGAGGAGCTGAAAAGCTTACTGGGCGGAGCTCCCCCCTTTGCTGCATCTCTGCAGGAAGCAGGAAGGGCAGGAGAGAGCTAGCTAGCCCAGCTAGGCTGACTCAGGAATTCTGGGAGTTGAAGTCCATGAGTCATAAAAGAGACGAGGTTGACTACCCCTGATCTTGTTGGACAACAGCCTGAAACTTGTCAGGTGAGCAGCAGATAGGAGAGGGGGAGAGAGAGAGAGAGAGAGAGAGAGAGAGAGAGAGAGAGAGAGAGAGAGAGAGAGAGAGAGAGAGAGAGAGAGAGAGAGAGAGAGAGATAGAGAGAGGAAAGAGAGAGAGAGGGAAGAAAGAGAGTGGGGGAAGAGGAGTGGCAGACCAAGGGCAGATAGAGAGGGAGAGAGAGAGAGAGAGAGAGAGAGAGAGAGAGAGAGAGAGAGAGAGAGGAGAGAGAGAGAGAGAGAGAGACCCTTTTGACATCTAAAATGAAGATAACACTGCATATATCCTTTTTTTACCTGTGTGTGTGTGTGTGTGTGTGTGTGTGTATACATACATACATATACATATATATATATACACACACACATACATACACACACACAAACACACACACACCTATAATAAAGGTAAAAAAGGATATATGCAGTGTTATCTTCATTTTAGATATCAAAATGGTTTTGCGGCTCCCAGTGTTTTGTTTTTGGTGGGAAACGGGTCCAAGTGGCTCTTTAAGTGTTTTGGGTTGCCTACCCCTGGCTTAGGCCATGGGTGTCATGACGTATTGTGACTTTTTTTTCATTGCTGGAGCTGGGGTGGGTACGGCCTCCATATGATGCAACCAGCCCGCAGGCCGGCAGTTTGACACCCCTGACATAGGCCATCTAACCATGACTTTTCCGATTAACCAAGGCTCTCTTGAGGAATTCGAATGCAGTTAATATTCTGCCTGCAGTTTCCTAAGCTGCATTTTTCATAAAAGTAGTTCTTACTGTGTTTGATGGACTTTTTTAAAAAAACAAAACAATACATCTGGGAGATAAACTATGCTAATAAGTGTTCCACAGCCACAGTGTGGGACTCACAACTTAGTGATTTTAAGTGGAATCTTCTGGCTCAAGGACATGGCTGACTCAGGAATTCTGGGAGTTGAAGTCCATAAGTCATAAAGGAGCCATAGTTCTCCACCCCTGCTTTAGTGTAATAATTACTAAGGATAAGACTGTAAATCTCAGTTTGCAGCTAATATTAGAAATCTTGCTAATTATAAGGCAAACTACATTTCTATAAATAGCTTTTCTATATAAATATTGATAATCTGACTTTGCTTTAGGTGATTTCAGAATGCTCATTGGAGAAGATAAATCAAAGGTTATGAACATAGTGAAACCGAACATGATACATTTTCAGAAGCTCTATAGGCACATTTTGCAAGATAGCCCTCAAGTGATATATAAGCATCAGCTGGGCGAATTAGAGGTAAGCAGGTCCCTGTTGCTTTTTTTTTTTTAAATGTAAACTATTTTGAATAGTTGTGTGATATGTTAAATAAAAAGCCACAAATAACATGGAATGTCCAGGTGGCTTGATTACTTAAGAAATCTGAAAGAGTAAGGCATTGCCTTACTTTAGAAATGTAATTCTGTTAATCTAAGTCTAGCTGTATTCAAGAGATTCAGTTTGGTGTTATAGTTAAAGGCACTAAGGTAGAAAAGGGAGACCAGGCTTCTAGCAGGTAACTTTGGGGCAATCATTCTGCTCAGTCCTAGGAAGAAAACTGGCAAAACGCTTCCCAAAAACTCTGTGCAGTTGTCCAGATAGTTGATAGGAGTCAAGCCTGACTCTGGACCACTGTGTTATATTCTGCTTTCTTGGGTGCATGAATCCTGGTTTAATTTACAGGTAGTTTTTAGGAAAAATGATTAATCCAGATAAGCAATGAGGATAATATATTTGGTAAAGATCTATAACAAATTAACCAAAGACTAAATAAACCAAGTTTCATATAGCGAAATTTAACTTATCAGATAAATCATGTTTCATGAATTTATTGGGTTTGCTCAGATTATTGGACCAATTATTGGGAAAAGAGAGGCATTTTTGCTGTAAATGACAACTGCATGATGTTATTTAGCAAAGATTTTAACCTGATGGTTCTGTTGTAGATTATAGATTATAGAAAATGGGATATCATTATTTGCTCAAAATTGGAAAAAGCTCTGTCTGAATTATAAATGTTTAAACCAGTCTTTGAAGATCTATTTATAAATTGACCAAGGCTATCTGCTTAAGAGTTAAGATTTTCCTTTGTTTACAGTCTCTTCATTTGTCCTGCCATATCATGTATCTTTTTCTCTGCTTACCCAGAGGCTATAGGTTTGTAGATAACCATGTAGGTGGATGACCTCTGAAAGGATTGGGGTGATGCACCCATCCTGGCCCTTCTTTCAACAGCTTTCAATACCATCAACCATGGTATGCTTCTGGACCATCTGAGGTGATTAGAAGTGGGGGGCACCGTTTTGAAGAGGTTCTCCTTCTTCCATGGCTATTGCCAGGAAATGTTGATGGCAAAGAGAGATCCAGCCTTAGGCGTTTATGTGGGGTGCCTCAGGCTCCAGTCTGTCTCCGCTCCAAGGTAACATCCACATGAAACCAGTGGATGGAGTCATTTGATGCCATTAGGTCCAGTATCCTCAGTATGGTGATGATATTGTTACATATTTCAACTTCATGCCAGGCAAGTGATGCTGTTCAGGCGTTTGCTCACTGCCTAAAGGCTAGAAGAGTCTGGAAGAGGAGAAACCAAATAGAGTGAGCTAATTCCATGTCCCTTTCCTCAAAAGTTGTCCTCTGGTACTATCTTGGACTCATCCCTTCTCCATAGCCACCTAACCCTTTGGAATAGTTTTTCATCTGAAATTCAAGTCTCCCTAATCATTTAGCCTTTTGGAAGGCCAGGAAGACTTGGCTATTTCTCCAAGCATAGCACTAGAATGAGGTTGAGCTAGGGAGTCAGTAATATAGGTGATTCTAATGTAGCAGTGAGACTTTCATATGTATGGAAATGGAAAGAGTTACACATTCCCAGAATTGTGAAGTTAATGGATTTGGCAGAGATGGCAAAACTGACTGCTTTGATTAAAGAAAAGACTTTGCCTAGGTTTATATCTACTTGGAAACCACTTTTGGACTTTTTGCTTGAAAATGAAAGATGAAATTTTAACTGTAGGATTTGATAGAACTGTTTGTGATTATAGAAGTACTATGTATTATGGTTAATGTTAAGATCATTTTATGTATTTTATGCTTTAATCTGTACTGAAGAAAATCAGAAATTACTCTTTTTCTATATGTTTCTTCTCTTTTTCTGCAACCCCAATTTTGTTTCTTCCCTTACCCACTTTTTCCTTTTTTTTACCCCTTGTATTTTATATTTTGTTAAAATTTAAAAAGTCTTAGGAAAAAAATGGGTGAATCTGATGCCTTGGTGGGAAAAGTAGGAAAGTGTTTTTATGTTTTTACCAGTTGCAGCCTAAGTTCATTTAGCAAGATAGGTAGCCATGTAAGTTCTTTAAATAAGTAAATTTCTGAATGCAGACAACCCAGATCCAGTCATTGGAGTCTCATATTTAAAACATCAAATTTCAGAAGGCAGTGAAGATATAGCTCAAAATGCAGATACAATTTTGAATCAAATCAATCAGCTCTACTGGGCTGGATGTACCAATATTCATAGTACATTGTGCCCTTTTATGCGATGAATGGACCATGAAGGAAATTCAGTGCTCCATGCACACAACCTGTGTGTGCTGGCAGCTTGGTTTCAGATGGGGCTGCTAATTTTCAGTGTTGTTGTTAAAGGAAAACAAGCTATGTCTGCTCCTTTTTTATCTTTAGATAGATAAAAGTCCAGAAGGTCAGTTTGCACAACTTATGGCTTTACCAAGCACCCTGCAGCAAAAAATAACTTCTATCAAGGATCCTCCAGGGAAGAACAGAGATGTGGAAGAAATTTTATTACAAATCGCCCATGACCCTGACTGTAGATTTGTGGTACACCAAGGTAGGTTTTAATAATTCATTTGCAGAAGTGAATGTTTTAGAATCAGTCTTGTATATAGTAGTTTCAGAATTCATAGTTTTTAAACGTCGATATGTATTTTTTTTTTAAACCCAATGTGGCTGGAAATGAGCAGTGGTATCAGAGCTGATGATGTAATTGATACTTTTTGTGTCAGCCCATTTTAGAATCTCTAAAGACTAATTCAAAATGCTGTACTCTTATGCCAAAGCTTAGTCATGCCTAACAAGCTTCTCTCCATATATTTTTCCTACAATCTCTACTTCCAGATTCCCTCTTTCGGGTTATTTGGCTCACAAACCACTTACCATAGAACACGCAGAACTATCACTGGGTGTGTCCCATTTATTGGTTGCACCATTCATTGGGCCTTGGCCAATGGCCACCTGAATAAACTATAGCTCCTCATGCAGAACTTGTGGGCTGAACCTGGGAGCTATTTGTGTCCATAAAGTTCTTAGAACTTCCAGCTTTATGCCTGAGGGCGGGAGTTATGAACATACTTGAATGATCTCACTCGTCTATTAAATGCACAAAATGATTACCTACCATGTTAATGTTCTGATAAGTCTATATACTGTAAAAGGAAAAATTAATTATCCCTAAGAGTTCCAAGAACAGGGAGGTGACCCAAAGGAGAAATCTGAGAAATGTGAGGATGTGTTTAGCAAGAAAAGATAGATAAGATAAAATAACCTTTATTGTCATTTTTTTTTTACTGTGGGCACAACGGCACACATCAAAAATGAAATTTAGTTGCCCACTCTCAAAGTGAAACATACATGACACACACCTAAACATACTATGAACATACTAGGATGGAAGTGGGATGACTACTGGGTGGCACCAGAATACCAGTGGTGGGCACAATGCTAAGTATAAAACCTGCTTCAAAGATTTGGGTGTTGCCTCTTGGCCCAGCTGTCATACTTAATGACCACTAGTCCACTTGGTCCTTATTGCAATACGTTGTTGAAATGTAAGTATTGAATCTGTGTGTCAAATTTAAATAAACCTCTGGATCCTAAAGTGAGAATTTTGTTGTGTGTTGTGTCTTGTTTCTCTTTAACAATTTTCCCCTGACAATACATCACTGTGCTTGAAAGTATATGAATTCTTATTTTTGGCAACATGCTGGTTCTTTAGAAACCTGAGTTTGGTAACTCTTTTATTGTAAAAAATAATCCCTATTTCAGGGGATTTGGCTCAAAAGTCACTTATTATATAATATGCAGAACTATCACTGGATATGTCCCATTCACTGTTCATTGGGTCTTAGCCAATAACCCATAGCTCCTCAGGGTTGAATTTGTGGGCTGACTTTGGGATTTAGTTATGTCCAGTGACGGACTTAGAATTCCAGCTCTCAGCCTAAATTTTTCACTATCTTAAATACTATAACTGTGGTGTTTGCAAAGCAACACAGCCATAGTTGTCAGGAAATTACCAGCAAACCATCTAGTCTGGTTATATTAAATGGTTTCTATTAATATAGGGCAAAGAGGTGGACAATTTGCTTGGAAAAGTTTAATCAGCTATCTGTCTGCCTCTTACTCTCTTGACTAATTAGATTAACTAATTAAACTATAATTAGTTTCAGCTGAAGGGGATTTCTGGGTGGGTCCTACAAGTAATTGCTGCCAGTTTGACAGCAATGGCCCCCAGTTTCTCTGACTGAGAAATATTTGCTTGATCCTGATGACTATCACAGCATTCATCCAGTCACACACGTCTCCTTTGGGGGAAAAATGTTCAGTTTCAGGTGTCTGAAGATTCTCAATCATCCAGGACATGGTTGTCCCAAAAGTGCTTTTTCCAAAAGGCATCTGGACTTCCTTAGTTTTTTTCTTTGAAAAATTTTGCTTCAGTTCAGAACTGAAGCAGCTTCTTAGATAAGAAAAAAATCCAAGAAAGTCCAGTTGCCTTTTGGAAAAAGCTCTTTTGGTTCAGTTTCAGGATTCTTAAATGAACTTTCATGGACCCTTTTATGAAAAGGACTTAATACAAAAATCATTCCATTGCTAGCCTGTTTTTTCTGCCTTTCTGGGTAACTTTGATGTAAAGGCCACTATCATTTATTAGACTGCCTTTATGTTGGGGTTGGGAGGTGTTGTAGTTTGGAATTCTAAAATAGAACAGTAAATAGATTCCGGCCAGAGGGATCAAGTACACTATAGTCAAAATAGAGAAGCTAGTCAAACTAAGCTTCAGTGGTCCAGATGTGTGATTTGAATCAGCATTCAAGGAAGGTAAAGACAAGACCACCAACTGCTGTTCACTGTCTCAATGGATAGCTTTTTATACTATTTCAAGCCCAGCTGGGGTGTATGACTCTTGTTTAGAGTGCAGAGCCCTTAGGAATAATAGTAACTCCTGAGTAGACCACTGTTCCCACAAGATTCTTCCCTGCATCTTGGTCCTTTCATGTTTTTTGCATTTTATTATGCTATCTATGCAGGTGCTGTTGAGGGCTTGAGTGGTTAGATGAGCTAATCATGTTTGGAGTCAAAGGAAACAGGCCCAGGCCTGCAGGTTGTTAGTTCTTCCCTAATTCTGTAGCGGCAGGAGCTTGGCCGTTGGGATTTAGTGGTTTTCACTGCCCCGTTTGGCTCTATTTTTTTTTTTCTCATTAGCCATCCGAGCGGGCCACCACAAGACCCTTCAGGTGAGAGCAATTTTAGCTGGTAAAATGCAATGAGTTCCTATTAAGGAAAGTGAGGCACGGTGCTGTTCTTATTAGGCAACTTGACCAGGACTATCAGACATGGGATTACAACAATCCCAAAGGCCACTGAATGACCAAAGAGAGTTTTCTTTATTTCTTTGCTGCTATATAGTGTTTTTAAACCATGTACTACTCTAGGATCTCTTAGGGAAGGACATGCCTCATAATACTTAAATTAATAACAAGATATGGTTAATAACTTCATCAGAAATAGAAAATAGCTGTGATTGGCTGCAGGGGAAAACTTGAATTTTATTTGTGAAGATCATTACACAGAGCAGTATTTGAATGTTCGTTTATTGTAATGAGTAATATATTAAAAATATTGGAATAAACACGTGAATCTCCCCAACAAAATAAAAATATACAGTGTTTGTGGGATAATCACATTCTGCCAAATGTGGTTTAATGTGTTTCTAGAATATTTAATGTTTAACCCCTTTTAAAAAAAATAATCCCAAGAATAACATCTGACTCTGTTTATTTTCTCCTTCTCTCCATGCCTCCTCCTCCTCTTCCTCCCCCCCCCCCCAGGTATTTCAAGAATTGTGGGATTGTCCAGCCTAATTCAGAGTGCTAAAACCACCCTAACAGCTGGTAAGAACTTGTATGCAGTGTTTTTCCAAATAAATCTTGTATTCAAACATACAAAAGTGTTTTTACAAAAGAAAAGGCTGAAAAATGAATAAAAAATTATCAATAGAGACCAATGATTCAAATTGTTTAAAATGCTAATACTGCACTGTTGCTTTCTGCACCTTCCAAACTTGACTAACATGTTTTCCCGAAAATAAGACTTACCCCGAAAATAAGACCTAGCTTGATTTTGGGGGTTGGGTCTAATATAAGCCCTGCCCCCAAAACAAGCCCTACTTAAGCTGCCCGCCCATTCCTTCACACCGTTGGTTGCTAGACACAAAGCAGGGGGGAAGGGAGGAGGCAGGAGAAGCTGCCGCATGCACCCCGCAATCACTTACCTTGCTGAAGGGCCCCTGCAACCAGGCCTACCATGTCCCGACACCCATCGTGCCTCGCCTGTTCGGCTTCTCCCATTTTCTCCTTCTTCCTTTGAACAGCCCTTCGCTCCCGGTACTACGTTTTCAGTCCCAGATCTCGGTTTGTCTGGAGCATGTGCAGAGGTCATGCCCCTCATGGGACATGACCGTTGAAGTAAAGACAAGGATAGAAAAAGCCTGAACAGCATTCTTCAAAATGAAAAAGGTCTTCTGCAGTCACGACATAAGCCTAAGACTGAAAATCAGGCTTGTCAGATGCTATATTTTTTCTATCATCTCTATGGAGTAGAGAGTTGGTCTCTGACAGAAGGCCACCTGAAGAGACTAGAAGCATTTGAAATGTGGATTTACAGGTGGCTGTTACGTATAAGCTGGGTTGACAAGATCAGAAATGAGGAGGTGATAAGCCGCCTGGGAAAGCCAAAGGAAATCATCAAAACAATTAAAAAATGAAAATTAGAATATTTCGGACATGTGATGTGACACCCAGAAAAATACGGCATACTCCATTTAATCTTCCAGGGAAAGATTGAAGGCAAACGAGGTCCGGGCAGAAGAAGAACATTGTGGCTTCAAAATCTAAGGGACTGGTTTGGACAAACTCAGCAGCACTTTTTCATGCGGCTGCTGATAAAAACAGCATTGCCAACATTCGATAACAGATATGGCACAAGAAGAAGAAGATGTGCAGAGGGTTTTTGGAAACGAAGCCCCGCAATGATCGGGACTCTGCTTGTCTGCAGAGCTTCTTCAGACCAACCCAGCTTCTGCCTCAACCATTCCTTGGCAGCTGGGCCCATTCTGCATTTGCCCTGCCTGCCTGTCGCCTCTTTAACACACTCAGATCTGCCCTGAGAAGCAGTCTCGAAGTCACCCAGCAAATTTTGGGCTGTGCAGGGACTGAATCCGAGTTTTGCTCCTAAGCTAACATCTTCCATGCCCGGTTGATCTTCATTTCTTGGGAGACCGTCACGCTGCCAGACCCCTTCCTTTCCCCCTCCCCCCGCCCTAAAAGTCAGCACGCACCTGCCTACCTCAGTGACAATAATGTTGTCTTACAGTAGTGGTAGTACTCTCGACTGAACTCCCAGCCATCCAGGCACTTCTGCCCCACCTGGCTGAGATTGACATCGGGCTCCAGGTTCCTGGCAGAGAAGTTGACCAGGGTCAAAAGGCAGTAGTGGCTGCAGAGGCTCCACACCTAAACGGGTGCGGACACATGGGGCAGCTCCCCCTGATCTGCCAAGCCTTATGGCAGTGGCACCATCCTGCCGCGAGCGGCCAAATGTAGCCACAGAAGGGGCAGCATGGAAGTCCTTGCTCCTGCGGCAAGGTACCAATAAGCGGAGCATGTGGGGCAGATCTCCCCCCCACCTGTTAAGCCTTGCAGAAGCGGCACCATCCTGCCGTGAGCGACTTACCATTAAAGTGGCTGCAGAACAAGTGGGAAGTCTGGCTGTGGTGTGGGAGCCTGCGGCATGGTACCAGTAAGTGCGGCACGTGAGGCAGATCCCCCCCTCCCCACCAGCCAAGCCTTGTGTTACCGGTAGCGGTACTGGCGTGATGTACCATGTAGCATCCTTCCCTGCTGTGAGCAACAGAAAGCGGTCGCATAACAAGTGGGGTGGCGTGGGGAGGGTGCCACCGCAGGGCAAAACAGTTATCAGGGAAAGGAAACATAAAACCTAGCCCGAAAATAAGACCTAGTGCCTCTTTTGGAGGCCAAAACAATATTAAGACCAGGTCTTCTTTTCGGGGAAACACAGTAGTACTGGGTACCAAGCAGGCAATAAGCAATTATTACCTGCCATTGAGAGCTTCCATTCTAATCTCTCAGTTTTGGGATCTTTCTTTCTCTCTGTTAACAAAGCTGCTGTGTGTTATTGGACTACTGAAAAATAATTCTGTGTTTATTGGTTAAGGTGATAGGTCTAATGAGTTATTAAGCTAGGCACTGTGTGATCTAATAAATTGTAGTTCTAAAAAGTACTTCAAGTATTAAACAACACTTCACTCATAGCTTTAATTGCAGTTATTTTAGTTGGCTTTGTTTTTTGCTTTTGTATGTTGCTTGTTGATGTGGGTTTTTCAAGCCTTCTCTAGATAGAACACTCCTAGAACGGCAAAACTGTGTCTAAACTTTATGATGGCAGATATGTTTATTAGAGCAGTGAAAGTAGTAATGTTTCAACAGTTTGTGGTAGTAAAACCACATATTGCTGACAGTGTGACATATGTTCCTAGTATAATTTGGGCAAAATGTTTAAAAAAACATTTTGCAAAACTTTCTTAAAATCTAAGCTTATATTAAAAAAGTGTTGTCTGCTGAGATTGGAGTCATTTCTAACTCTTTGCAGAGACTGAATTTGAAACTTATACTGTATATACAAATATTTTTTAATCACAGAACTGCAATACTTTCCCAGCTGTAACGTTTTCTATAGAATTGAAGTTAGAGCTTCCCATAAGGAGAATGGGGTGTGCTGCCAATAACACAGTCACGATTTTGCATTTGCCCTGTCCCCTCTGTAATGGGTAGAACAGTTTCATTTAACATTGAAATCCTGAGCTATTTTCCAGTCATTAGCAATAACTGATAAAAAGAAAGAGATATAATGGCCATAGATTAAGAGGTAAGTCAGTCTGCATCTTACTGGGAGCGCGAGATGCCTAGGAAAGCAAGACATGGCATTGCTTTTTCTAAAAATATTAAAGATACAGCCCTGCTTTGAGAGGACTTGAATGTTTTCAGTATTATATTTTTGTTGGGATAAAATATTTTTCTTTCTTCACTGTATGCCCATGTAGAAGTTAGTTTTTTTTTTACATGTTTTACTGTCATCCTTAATTTTATCAACGAAGAAAGGAAGCATATAAAAATGAGAGTGTTGTGCTTTTTTATTGCTTTCTTTTCCGGGTTTATGAATATTATGAAACCCTTTTTGTCAAGTTTCTAATAGTCTGCAGTGCTTTCTGTGATGAACTGATCTCAGTCGAGATAATTCTTCCCATGTCTGCCACTTCAGCCAGTTCCTAGAACCTGCATAATGGAGCATTAGCCCTGTGGTCAAAGCTTGTTAATTGGTAGGAATCCCTGTATAACCTGAATCTGGATAGTTAACTTATTCTGATTTACTGATAAGTTGAATGGCCTCTCTGCATCATTGCAATGACTGTAGCAGTGCAGCAGATGTTTTAAGATATAAGCCCAATTAAGTTTGACTGTTGTGTGGGTGTTTTTCATATATTTTGCTATGAACAGAGATACAGGTTTAACCACTTAGCCATCCTTCTCTTGTTACAGCTGTAATTCTTCTAATGAGGCTTTGAACTAGCACAGACCTGCATGACTATTATTTTTCATGTTACATTATCCACCCATCTCCTACACCCCTTTTCCTCTTTCCCACACAGACTTTATTCAGATTTTAATGGCAGCAGGCTTGAGGCAGTGTCTTCAGGCCAGACATTACATTAGTAATTTGCCTTTCACCTCTCTAGTCTCACCAGCTACCAAAATCTCAGCAGGATTCTGAATGTGGTTGGTAATTAGATCCTGCTAGGTTGTAAATGTTAAATGTTGCTGGGCTGCCATGCAGCAGTTACCTCTTTCAGTCAAATACCTGGATTTATAAACCTGAGTCATCACTTGTGGAAGAACAGGTAAAATGGTCCTTGCTAAGTTCTGCAATGCATATACACCATCTAGGGCAGGGGTGTTAAATTCGTAATGTCATGTGACGTGTTGTGACATCATGACTTTTTTGCCATTGCCGGCAATGGGGTGGGCACGGTTTCACTCTGATGCATCCGGCCCATGGGCTGGCAGTTTTGACAGCCCTGATCTAGGATTTATTATGTAGCTGGAAAATTCTACTTACAAATAATGGTAAAAAATACAAAGGCCTTCAACCATTTAACAGGATTTCCTTTCATCTTGCCCAGCCCATGTGGCTTTAAACTAGCTTGATCCCAATTTTTTTGTTTACTTTTAGAGGCCCTATATAGCTCTTCAAGAAAAAAAAGGCAGTATGTTTTCTAAAATCTGTGACAAGACTTGGGGTCTGGTTTCTATTAGAAATGGCATCATCCATTGATTTATTTTTCTTCTTGCTCTTATGGCATATAAGGCTCTGAAATGCTTGCAATTTAGATGTTTCACAAAAAAGAATACATTTGGCAACCTTATGTGAAATAAAATAAGCTTTCTTATATTTGCAGTAATGATCTTGTGTCAGGTATGGCTTTTTGTGAAAAGCATACAGTCCTATGGATCTTGAGTATGTGTGTGGGAGCAAGGGGTTAGGAGGAGGAGAAATGGACAAATATGCATTTGTAAATGCACACATACACATATACACAAAAGTGTATATTTGTTGTTGTTAATTGCGAAGTCGTATCCGACTCATCGCGACCCCATGGACAATGTTCCTCCAGGCCTTCCTGTCCTCTACCATCTTCTGGAGTCCATTTAAGCTCACGCCTACTGCTTCAGTGACTCCATCCAGCCACCTCATTCTCTGTCGTTCCGTTCTTCTGTTGCCCTCAATCTTTCCCAGCATTAGGCCCTTCTCCAGTGAG